AGGGTTGTGACCCACACCAAGTCCACTAAACACCCAGGATGTGACCCACACCCGTCCACTAACATCAGGATGTGACCCACCGTCACTAACACCCAGGATGTAGACCCACCACCAGCCAATAAAAACAACCGGATGTGACCCACCACCAGTCCACTAACACCCGGATGGTGACCCACACAAGTTCACTAACAACCCAGTGAATGTGGACCAACCAGGATCCACTAACACCCAGATTGAACCACACCAGTCCACTAACACCCGGGATGTGACCCACACCAGTCCACTAACACCCGGGTGTTGACCCACACCAGTCCACTAACACCCGGGATTGTGACCCACACCAGTCCACTAACACCCGGGATGTGACCCACACCAGTCACTACACCCGGGAAGTGACCACACAGTCACACAACACCCGAGATGTTGACCACACCAGTCCCACTAAACACCAGGATGTGACCCAACAACCAGTCCACTAACAACGGGATGTGACCCACACCAGTCCACTAAACACCCAGGATTGCAACCCCACAACAAGTCCACTAAAATCCAGGATGAAATACCTACAAATCACTCAAATTACCACCCAGGATGTGACCCACACCAGTTTAACTGGAGTTTAACTGGAGAGAGTTCCGTGGGTCAACGCCCCCGCGGCCGGCTGAGACCAGGCTCCTGGTTGGATCAGAGCCAGTCAACCAGGCTGTTGCTGCTGGTGACGCAAACCAACATACGAGCCACAGCCCGGCTGATCCGGATCTGACTTTAGGTGCTTGTCCAGTGCAGCTTGAACGAACTGCCAGGGGTCTGTAGTAATCCCCCTTATGTTGGTGCTCGGGAGGCAGTGAAAGAGTCGCGGGCCCTGACACTTATGTATGGTCTCTTAACTGCCTAGTGACACCCCTGCTTTTTCATTGGGGGGATGGTGCTCGTCTGCCAAGTCTCTTTTGCTTTCGTAGTGAGTGGATTTTCGTGTGCAAGTTCGAGTACTAGTCTCTCTAGGATTTTCCAGTGTGTATATAATCATGTTTCTCCCCTCCCCCCCCCCCCCCCCCCTCCTGCGTTCAGGGATACTGTTTAGAAACCTCACAGCGCTCCAGTAATTTGAGGTGTTTTTCCTACGTATGCGCGCCGTGAAAGTTCTCTTGTTACATTTTCTAGGTCGGCAATTTCACTGCCTTGAAAGGTGCTGTTAGGAGTGCTGAATAAATTCCAGCCTAGATAGAACAAGTGACCTGAAGTGTGTCATCATGGGCTTGCTCCCTAAGTTTTGAAGGGTTCTCTTTATCATCCTGTCAATTGTTTCTAGCAGAGCGAATTGATACAATGTTTATGGTCTTGAGGTGAGATTCCTCCGACATATCACTCCCAGGTCTTTGACGTGGTGTTTCGCTCTATTTTGTGCCCCAGAATTTGTTTTTTAATGGATGAAGATTTAATTTCCTTCATTGTTTTACCATATCTGAGTAATTGAAATTTCTCATCGTTGAAATCTTATTGTTTTCCGCAGCCCACTGAAAGATTTGGTTGATGTCCGCCTGGAGCCTTTGCGTGTCTGCAATGGAAGACACTGTCATGCAGATTCGTGTCATCTGCAAAGAAGACACGGTGCTGTGGCTGGACACTTGGTCTTAGGTCGGATATGAGGATGAGGAAAACAAGATGGGAGCTAGTACTGTGCCTTGTGGAACAGAGCTTTCACCGTAGCTGCTCGGACTTTACTCTGTTGTCGACTACTCTCTGTGTTCTGTTAGTGAGGAAATTATAGATCCATCGACAGTCCTTTTCCTGTTATTCCTTTAGCACGCATTTGTGCGCTATTACGCATGGTCACACTTGTCGAAGGCTTTTGCAAAAAAGTCTGTATATATTAAATCTGCATTCTTTTCGTCTTCTGTGCATTTAGGACTTGTTGTAGTTGATCCAATGTTGAGACAGACGGAGCGACCTGTTCTATAACCCATGTGGCCCTTGGGTTGTGTAACTGATGGGTTTCTAGATGGGTGGTGATCTTGCTTCTTAGGACCCTTTCAAGATTTTTATGATATGGGATGTTAGTGCTATCGGTCTGTAGTTCTTTGCTGTTGCTTTACTGCCCCCTTTGTGGAGTGGGGCTATGTCTGTTGTTTTTAGTAACTGAGGGACGACCCCCGTGTCCATGCTCCTCTACATAGGATGAAAAGGCTCGTGATAGGGGCTTCTTGCAGTTCTTGATGAACACAGAGTTCCATGAGTCTGGCCCTGGGGCAGAGTGCATGGGCATGTCATTTATCGCCTGTTCGAAGTCATTTGGCGTCAGGATAACATCGGATAGGTTTGTGTTAATCAAATATTGTGGCTCTCTCATAAAAAATTCATTTTGAACTTCGACTCTCAGTCTGGTTAGCGGCTTGCTAAAAACTGAGTCATATTGGGACTTGAGTAGCTCACTCATTTCCTTGCTGTCATCTGTGTAGGACCCATCTTGTTTAAGTAGGGGCCCAATACTGGACGTTGTTCTCGATTTTGATTTGGCATAGGAGAAGAAATACTTTGGGTTTCTTTCGATTTCATTTATGGCTTTTAGTTCTTCCCGCGATTCCTGACTCCTAAAGGGTTCTTTTAGCTTAAGTTCGATGCTTGCTATTTCTCTGACCAGTGTCTCCCTACGCATTTCAGATATATTGACCTCTTTTAGCCGCTCTGTTATTCTTTTCCGTCGCCTGTAAAGGGAGCGCCTGTCTCTTTCCATTTTACATCTACTCCTCCTTTTTCTTAGAGGAATAAGCCTTGTGCATACATCGAGTGCCACCGAGTTAATCTGTTCTAGGCATAATTTGGGGGTCTGTGTTGCTTAGTGTATTTTCCCCAGCTTATATTGGTTAGGACTTGGTTTACTTGGTCCCACTTTATGTTTTTGTTATTGAAGTTGAATTTGGTGAATGCTCCCTCGTGACTAGTCTCATTTTGTCGGTCTGGGGCTCCACGCATACATGTCTGAACCTCAATTATGTTGTGATCTGAGTATATTGTTTTTGATATGGTGACATTTCTTATCAGATCATCATTGTTAGTGAAGATGAGGTCTAGTGTATTCTCCAGTCTAGTAGGCTCTATTATTTGCTGGTTTAAATTGAATTTTGTGCAGAGATTTAAAAGCTCGTGTGAGTGTGAGTTTTCATCAGAGCTGCCTCCTGGTGTTATTACTGCAACAATATTATTTGCTATTTCCTCCATTTTAGGTGCCTTAAGTTGAAATCCCCCAGGAGCAAGATGTTGGGTGCAGGAGCTGGAAGATTTTCCAGACAGTGGTCAATTTTTAACAGCTGTTCTGGAATTGCTGGGATGTTGCATCCGGAGGCTTGTAGACTACCACAATGACTAGGTTTTGGTTCTCGACCTTTACTGCTAAACTTCCACTACATCATTTGAGGCATTAAGCAGTTCTGTGCAAACAAGTGACTCTGCAATGTACAGGCCAACCCCCCCCTTTTGCCTGTTCACTCTGGCACATCTGTATAGGTTGTAACCCGGGATCCATTTTTCGTTGTCCAAGTGATCCTTTATGTGAGTCTCAGTGAAAGCCGCGAAACATTGCCTTTGCCTCTGCAAGCAGTCCACGGATGAAAGGTATTTTGTTGTTTGTTGCTGGCTTTAGACCCTGTATATTTGCTAAGAAGAATGTTATCGGACTGGTGGTATTGTTGGTACTGGGGGGGGATTTTTTTTCCGGCATTAGAATCTGTATCTGTTGGTTTGGAGTGGAGGCCATCGACTGTGGTTCCACTCCAGGAATGACTGGATTTGGTGTACGATTTCTGCCATTTCCTGCCAGTTTTTTTTTCCTTCCTGGCACTAAAAAACCTCTCCCTCTTGAGTGGCTGTGGCTACCCAGGTTTTCCCATGGCCTGGATGTTTTGTATCTTTTTGTCCCCTTTAGATGGTATGCCTGGCAATTTAAGTTATAGCACAGTCTTTCCTGTACTGAAGAGGTACACATTTCAGGGTGAAAAAGCTTACAGGAAGGGAGTTTGCATTTTCCTGTTGTCATATGGGCATGGCATTTTCTAGGGTGGTCATAGTTGCATGTCCCATCTGTTTTTCCAGATTTCCCATGCCAGCAGATACCAAGTGCATAGTATGTGCACAGGCTTGGTTTCTGCTTGCCTTGGGTTTCTGTGACTGTATTCCCTGTTGGTGCTGTTTCCCTGTCTTACTTCTATCATCCCTAGCACCAACAATGGAGCTCCCACCAGTTGTTTTTGGTAATTTATCCTCAGTATTGCTATTGGAGTCCTCTTGTTTGCTATTTCCTGCGGTATTTCCTAGTTTTCAATATTTGTTTTATCTTATCTTTGTCTACACTTGTTTCCCTCTATGGCTCCTGTCCCCTATTGAGGTCATTTATATGTATTCCTTCTGCGTATAATTCTCCCGACACCATGGACAAAATCTCCAGCTTCACCATTACTGTCTCCCAGGACAGCACCTCCAGCTTCACATTACTGTCTCCCAGGACAGCACTATAAGCCCCCTAATTTACTTGACTACCAGGACATCACTCCAGCCTTTTCAGTTGTGACTCATGGCCAGTAATCAAGGGCAAGTACCATTCAGGCCCAGACTTTTTTGTTCCCATTCTGTTGTAGAAAGCTTCCAGGTTTTCTATGAAAGCAGCTTTGATGTTGTTCCTCTTTTAATACCCTTGTGATTTAGTCCACAGATTTTCCTCATTTGGCATACCAAAAACACTTCTCTGGTTTTTATACTGCTTGTAGCTGGTTCTTGAATATTCTGACAAGGGGGCGTGACACCAATTTCCACAAAAATGACAATTTATCCATGTGGAATGCCCGTTTGTTTTGACCTGACACAGACTACACACTAGCTTCATATTGATTGAATGGTTGATTTACTGCAATTCTACTGCACCTCTTGAATATTCTATTAATAACCTCCTTAAATGAAGCTCTAGCTATTTGTATTTCTGTTTCTAACTGTGTTTTTGTTTATTGCGACAGCTTACCGTCCGTTCCACTAAGGACACAGGATGTGGGACCCCACTCCAGTCCACTAACATCGAGCGATGATGATCCACCACCAGTCCACTAACACCCAGGATGTGACCCACACCACTCGAATAACACCCAGGATGTGACCCACACCAGTCGAATAACACCCAGGATGTGACCCACATCAGTCCACTAACACCCAGGATGTGACCCACACCAGCCGACTAACACCTAGGATGCAACCCACACCAGTCCACTAACACCCAGGATGCAACCCACACCAGTCAACTAACACCCAGGATGGAACCCACAACAGTTGACTAACACCAGGAAGTGACCCACACCAGTCAACTAACACCCAGGATGCGACCCACACAACACAACACTGCACTACAAAACACTGCTATACACAACACTGCACTACACAACACTGCACTACACAACACTGCACTACACAACACTGCACTACACAACACTGCACTACACAACACTGCACTACACAACACTGCACTACACAACACTAATAAACATAACACTGCACTACACAAACACTTGCACTACACAAACACTGCACTACACAACACTGCACTACCAACACTACATAACTAAACACTGCACTACACCAACACTGCACTACACAACACTAGCAATACACAACACTGCACTACACAACACTGCACTACACAACACTGCCACTACACAAACACTGCACTACACAACACAACATGCACAACACTGCACTACACAACACTGCACTAACAACACTGCACTACACAACCTGCACTACACAACACTCGCACTACACAACACTGCACTACACAATACACTGCACTACCACAAATCACTACACAAACACTGCACTACACAACACTGACGTACAACAACACTGCACTACACAAACTGCACTACACAACACTGCATATAGAACACTGCACTACACAACACTCGCACTACAAACACTGCACTACACAACACTGCACTACACAACACTGCACTACACAATACTGCACTACACACCACTGCACTACACTATACACATATGCAACACTATACAACACTATGCAACACTGTAGTGCAATACACAACACTATACTACACAACACTAAATAACACTATGCAACACTGTAGTGCAATACACAACACTATACTACACAACACTACACTACACAACACTGAACTATACAACAGTGCAGTATAGAACAGTGCACTACACAACACTGCACTACTCAACAGTGCACTATACAACACTACACAACACAACACTACACTACACAACAGTGCACTATTCAACACTGCACTACACAACACTGCACTACCCACAACACCTGCACTATACAAACACAACACTGCCTACACAACACTACACAACACTGCACTACACAACACTGCATATGCAACACAACATGCACTACACTGCACGACACAACACTACACAACACTACACTACACAACATGCACTAGATAAACACAACACTGCACTACCACAACATGCAACTACACAACACTGCACTACACAACACCTGCCATACACAACTCTCACAACACTGCACTACCTGGAGTTTACCCTGGAGAGGAGAGTTTCCGGGGGTCAACGCCCCCGCGGCCCGGTCTGAGACCGGCCTCTGTGGATATGAGCCTGATCAACCAGGCTGTTGCTGCTGGCTGCACGCAAACCAACATACGAGCCACAGCCCGGCTGATCCGGAACTGACTTTAGGTTGCTTGTCAGTGCCAGCTGAGATGCCAGTACACTGCACTAGGGCAACACCAGCACTGCATTACACTTGCACTACAAACACTGCACTATACAAACCACTACACAACACAACACTTGCTATACACAACACTGCACTTACAAAACTGCACTTACACAACAATGCACTACACATCACAAACACTGCACTCTGCAAACACAACACTACTACACAATACTGCACTACACTACACAACATTGCACTATTACAACACTACACAACACAACACTGCCACTAACAACACTGCACTACACAACACTGCACTAACACAACACTGCACTACACAACACTACACAACACAACCTGCACTACACAACACTGCACTGCAACAACACTGCAACTACACAACACTGCACTACACAACACTACACAAACAACACTGCCACTACACAACACTGCACTGCTCAAAACACTGGCACTACACAATACTGCACTATACAACACTGCACAACACTACAGAACACTGCACAACACTGCACTACACAACACTATGCTACACAACACTGCCAATACACAACACTGCACAACACAAACTGAATACACTAAAGAACATAAGAACGAAGGAACACTGCGAAGACCTCTGGCCCATGCGCGCAGGTCCAAGTCTCCTACCGGCTTAAGCTAATGCACCCAACTAGTCAGGTCAGGTCACATTGACCTCTCTTTAAAGCCTTAAGGGAGGAACACGGCAACGACTGGTAGCACAAGCTATCAGGTCTAAATCACACACCACAATCTACCTCATTTATTATCCACTATTTTTAAAGCTACCACAAACGTTCTGGCTCTATAAAAAAAAAACGGTACTTGGGGTTTGTTCCACTCATCACAACTCTTTACCAAACAGTACTTTCCTTTATCCTTCATGAATCTGAATTTTACAAATTAAAACCATTGCTGCGGTCCTGTCTAGCGCTAGATACTTTCAGCACACTATTTACATCCTTTTTTATTTCCTGTCTTCCTTTATTCACTCAATCATATCCCCCTAATTCTACGTCTTTCTTGAGAGTGCAGTTTCAGGGCCCTTAGTTTTATCCTCATAGGGAAGGTTTCTGATACAAGGGTTCAACTTTGTCAATCCTTCTTGGTACATTTTCCAGAGAATTTATATCATTCTGTTAATTCGGTGACCAAAAACTGTGCAGCATAATCTAATTGAGGCCTTAACCAAGGATGTATAGAGTGAAGAAACAAACTGAGGACTCCTATTATTTAAGCTTCTTGTTATGAAGCCAAGGATTCTATTAGCTTTATATGCGAACACTTATGCACTGTTGTCTTGGTTTCCAGATTACTGCTAACCAGAACTTCCTAAATCTTTTTTCGCAATCCGTAACAATTAAGATCTACATTATTTAGTTATATGTGGCATGATTATTGTCCTGTCCAACATCTTTTTTGAACTTTGCATTTGTCGATATTAAACTGCATCTGCCACTTCTCCGACCACTGCATCAGTCTATTAAAAATTTCCTGGAGTGCTCGAATGTCCTCGTCAGAATGAATTCGACGGCCTATTGGGTGTCTTCGGCAAAATTGCCGATGTCGCTCTTTATGCCCATCATCTATTTCGTGTAGTAGATTGTGAACATCAGGGGGCCCCAACACTGACCCTGTGGAACACCGCTCGTGACACTTCCCCACTCTGATTTCTCCCCATTTATGCAATATCTCTGCTGCTATTTGTCAACCATGCCTCTAGCAGGAAAAAATTTCACCTCCTATTTCCATGTGCATTAATTTTCCTCAATGGTCTCTGATGTGTGACCTGTCAAAAGCCTTACCTGAAGTCCATATACACAATATCATATCATTACCATGATCTACCTCCTCAAATTAACCTTAGTGAAAAAAGTTTATAAAATTCGTAAGGCAGGAACGCCCCTTTGTAAAACCATGCTGGATTCGTTGATTAATTTAGGCATTTTCAAGGTGGCTACGAATGCTCGGCAAATTATTGATTCCTAAATTTCCCCCTATGGAGGTTAGGCTTATTGGTCTAATAGTTCGAAGGTAAGGACCTGTCACCTGTTTGAAAATATGTATCACATGTGCCATTTTCCACACTTATCTGGACACCATGCCAGTTTTTAGTGTGATTTGTTGGAAAGATTAGCCAAAAGTGTGCTAAGCTCCTCTTTACATTTCCTTTAATAAACCCTTTGCCATACAGTTCATCCCCCCCAGGGGCCTGGGGATTTTGTTAGGTTTATTTATCTATTTGCCTAAGGACCATGTCACTTGTGACCCTAATAGTGCACTGTTTATTATTCGTCCTGTTCTACATAATTTATCATTACTGGAATATCGCTGGTAATCCTCCGTGTAAAAACTGAGAGGAAATATGTGTTTAAAAATTCTACACATTTCCTTATCACTGTCAGTGAGCTGACCGAGGAACTTTTGGTGGGCCTATCTTGTCCCCTGATTGACTTCTGTATTACTGAAAGAATCCTTTTGGGTTGTCTTCGATTCTCTTGCAACTTTAACCTCATTAATCTCTTTTTGCTTTTTAATTCCCTTTTTTATTTCTCTCTTTAACTGATATATCGATTTCTCAATTGCCCCTCTCCCTCTTTTGATTTGCCTATATTATGCCTCTCTTTTGACCAATCAGATATTTTAATCTTTTGTTCATCCATTAGGATCATTTTTGTTTGATCTGATTTCCCTATTTGGACATTAATTCGACTGAGCACGCTAGAACTATGCCCTGGAAAGCATCATTATCGGCAACCATCCCACCTCCTGACCTGAGTCAGGTCATTCCAGTCCAGCCCCCCCCCCCCACTAAGTAATTTTTCAGTCCTATGAAAATCAGCCAACGCGAAAGTCAGGGACGGAGACTTGATTGGCCATTATAGGGGAATTCCATGATATATTAAAACTGAGTGATTGTGATCACTTTCCCCAAGCTCATCATTAACCTCATGCTATTAATTAGTGTTTCCCTACTGTGCAAGAAACAGTCAAGGAGGTTATTTCCCTAGTTGGTCTCTGTCACAAACTGTTTTAAAAAAACAATCCTGGATAGTATCAAGAAATCACCTGACTCTAAATTTCCTGTCAAATTGCTCCAGTCAATCTGTCTATAGGTTGAAATCTCCCATTAGGCACATCATTTTTGTATGTAGATGCCTTACGAATTTCGTTCCATAGAAGTTTACTGCACTCCCTATCAAGATTTTGGTGGCCCTGTAAATACACCCAAAATTAGTTTTTTTCACTGGCCCCTCGAGACAGCTGTAACCAAACAGATCAGTGGCTGACGCTTCTAATTTAATATCTTGTCTAAACACAGCAATTAAATTGTCTCTGGAC